TCGTTTTAGAAAGATAAAGAATGTTCGATTATTTACAAATATCGAGACTAGATCTTAAAAGCTATAACAACCTTTTCTCGATAAATTTAAATAGTCGAACATTTCTTTTTCTTCCATTCCCAAATTTTAGGTGAAGAATCGATTTTTTAGGTTTCACTTTCGAGATACACTTTTATTTTAAAATCATTAAAAGCACACCTCGAATGCGTTATGCCAACCCGCTTAAAACAATTTTAAATTAAAAGTGTATTACCCTTAATCCAATTATGTAATATGTCGAGTTATGCAAATGAGGTTACCATGCGAATCGTGCAAAAAATGTCATACTAAAATTAATTAAACAAAATAAAAAATGACATACAACGTGACATACAAAAAAATTGTAGACATATTTTTAAATTTAAAATTATAAACCATGCATACTAATCTATAATGTACAAATATGACTCAAATATAAAAACAAAAACATAACATGCTAAACTAAAAATTTAAAAAGTGTATATACATATTAGAATTAGGACTAAATTTAACTAAATGTAAAATTCGACATACAAATTAAAACTAAGTAAGGATCTAAATGAAACAAGCGTATAAATGAGGAATCTGCACCGAAATAATCTAACAAAATTATAACTAAAACTAAAAACTGGAAAATAACTAAATTAGGATAAACACAAAAGGTTAATTCAAAAGTAGCCCTAAATGTGACTAAAGTGTAAAACAAGCTTAAAATTTGGGTACTGCAAAACTGATTTTACCAAGCAAATTTGATGGCCAAAAATTAATTTACCCATAAACCTTAATATATAATCTAAACTAAAAACCTAAACTAAATCTAAGCTTAAGTAAATCTTGCGCAGGAAAGCACTGCCGCTCAAGCTCCCTTCTTCATTCTCTCCACTCTTCGTCTCTCTCTCGGCCATACACAGTGTCGTTTGAAGCCCAAGCCTTCTCCGACCACCATACTCAGCGACCTAGTAACCTAAATCAACCACCTAACAACCCTTAACCTTAATCTCATTCTTCTAACTTCTAATTCAATGTCTAAAACATCCAAAACATATTCCAAAAGCCTCACCAGAACACCCAATCGCTCAGTCACTCTTCTCATTCTTCTAACACATGACATCGACCCAAATACCAACAACCCCTATTCGACACTACGCTCAACTCTTCAACGACAGTGGTATGGCACTCGAAACACTAGAGTAAATTTAAATCTTATTTTTTCTATTTTTTATCTTTAAACCCCAATATATGATAACCCCAAATCAAAAAAAAAATGACAGGCACAGACTCAAACCACTCACAGTAATTCTACCCAACTTCGGTAACTTTGACAACTCGGCAATGAGACCCTAAAGTCTACGACCCATTTACTTCAATGACGCACCGAAGGTAAGTATTTCTGTTTTTAAGCTTTATAATTTGTATTTAGTTTAAAAAAAATTATTAAAACAGATGAAGAAACATACTAACGTAATCATAGAGGAAAAAAAACCTTGTAGGAACTGAATTCCACTTTGTATTGCTTTGATTTGATGAAAAATGGGATTGTTTCCTTTGATCTTCGAACAGGAATAAAATACCACTGTACAATGTTTTTTCGTCTGTTGCTTTTCTCTCTAAAAACAAAGAATCAGTAGGGTCAGTTTTCTTTTTTGTTCACTCAGTTAATTGCCTTTCCAAAAAATTCATCCATGGTTCTTTTCGTTTTCCTCTTGTGATGGCCGGTATATCTCTCCGATAATTCTCTGTTTGTGTAAAAAAAGAACTCACTTCTCCTCTTTTTCTGTGTTTCCCCCTTTTCCAGTGGTTAATACTCTCTAAAAAACCATCCCCGTTGATAGTGATCTTTTTTCAATAAACCAACTCCCCCATTTACAGTTTCTAGTGGTTAATTCCTTATAACTATTTTTTGGTTTTCAAGGGCTTCACGTGGCCCACGCTGTCGGGTCATTGGTTTGGACCTTAAACTGGTTTAGGCTCATCTAGGCTCTCATGGCTTCGAGTCTGCTCCGACTTGGCCCCAGACAAATCGAGTATCTACAGCTAAGATAGATCCAGTACCCTTTTACTAGGAAAAGAAATGTAAACAAGAAAAACTCTCTAGGGTAGGTGTTTACAAAATGTAAGCTCACAAGAACAAAATTTACAAAAGAATAGAAAAATAAGAATGAAAAATTGTTCTCTTGTGTTTGAATGCTTGGATAACTGTTCTCTATCTTCTTCAAGTGTCCTCAGCTTATTTTTATAGCTTGAAATGAGTTGGAAGTCGTATCTATCTATTGGGGATGTTTTGGAGCCGTTGTGGATTAATTTTCTGTAAAATAAGGCTGTCAAGAACTAGAAGTATCGGTACTCCACTATGGGGTATCGATACTACTTTTTTTAAATTCAAATTAACTAGCGGTTGCTAGCCATTGGAGCCTTGTAGTATCGATAATGTTTTAAGGGTATCAGTACTACTTTTTACTATGGTATCGATACCCTTTCATGATATCAATATCATTTTTGCATTCTGGAATCTGAGTCTTCAAGCTAGTATCGATACTACCATGATGGTATTGGTACTACATTTCCCTATGGTATCGATACCAGAAGAACATTATCGGTACCGTTCATGTGGTATCGATACTGCAAAGAACAATATCAATACTTCTTTGTATTTTGTACTCAATTCCAATTTAAATGGACTTTGAATTAATTATGAAATCTTTGAAAAACTTTGAATAAATTCAATTCAAGTCTATAAACATTTTGCCTTAATTGTTATATCAAAATTTAGTTCTGTACCTTGGTTAATCTCATATTTATAGTGTAGTTTTTCCATCCAAAACTACCCATTAATTGAAGACATCCCACACGTCCATGCGTAACTCTCAAAGAGGTAGTGAAAACGTGGGGTGACATGAACCACTCTAAGGCAACAATTTAATTAACTACTCATATTCTCCCACTTAGTTCATTTTTGTCAATGAGTACTCAAATTCGAATATGATGCATGAATCTTGACGATTTTTCTCTTAAAATTTAACTAGTATCTTCTTTGTATCAAAATGTATCATATATAAATAATCTATCCAAATTTCTTAATGAATAAACCTAATGCTTATTCTAGGTCTAAACTTTAGTGATATTTCTCGAAATAACTAAATTAATATGCACACAACAAAATGAGAAACATCAAACTTAATAGAGTTTCATTAAAACTATTCCTACAATAAATTTACAAAGTATAAACAAATATTATAGTGACAAGATGATCCTTAAATATATGTGGTGGCATGCCTTTAGTTAAAAGATCATCTAATAATTACTTAATGTTAATATGCTCAATGACCACTTTATTTTATTTAACACGTTTTCTTATGGCTAGATACTTAATGTCTATGTGTTTACTTCGACTTCCACTTTTGTTATTCTTAGTCATAAAGATAGTAGTCGAAATGTCATAATATATCATTACACTATAAGAAAATATACCTTTAATGGCACACGAACGATGACACACGCTAATTTACGACTTGCAAAAAATGTGTCATAAAAAATGTCATGTTTCTTAAAATCTGAACGATTTATGACTTACAATAATGTGTGTCATATTTAATAGTCATAATACAAAAAATTTCAAAAACACGGAGTACACTTTTAATTGTGTGTCATCTGTAAAAGTCGTCTTTTAATTTCCCCCCCATAATTTTCATCCTTTCTCGCTTCTTCCCCCTTATCATCAGTTCACACTTTTGCATTCATGTTACCAAGAAACACGATATTGAAAGATCAGATGGAGAATGCTTCTTCCCCAAAACCTACCCCTCCAAAATCCAAACGAAAGCACCCAAAATCATCTAAGGATGACCAATTGGCTAGCTTCAAAGGGGTCAGTACTCTTTCTCATCTTTTTAATTTGATGGTATTTCAACGAAATACTATAAATTCTTTGATGTCCTGACTTTGCTTGGGGAAAACCGCAATATTGTGGAGATAAGCAAAAAGAAGATGAGTTGTTTTCCTTGCTTTAATCCTCGTTCTAAAGATTCAAGGATCGACATTGACAATGGAAATCGAACCACTTCTCTCCATTCCACTGTTTCCTCAGGTTCTCTTTTCATTTCCCTTTTTCTCATTACTTTTCCGTACAATCTTGCTTATCTGTTAACTTGTTCTTCATTTTTGTAACCAGTTTCCTGCGCTACGAGAAGAAAGGCAATTCTAAAAGGTAATGTTAAGGATTCTAACACCAAATTTCTCGGGAAACTTTCTTCTTTCCCAGTGGATTTGATTATTAGTTTGTTCGAAATTTTGGTAACAGAGCATAAGAAAGGAAGTGATCAGGGACATGGCTCCAAAGGCAATAGGACGTGTAGTTTCACATTCCGGGAGTTAGCAACAACAATAAGGAATTTCAGGGAAACCAATTTGCTTGGGGAAGGAGGATTCAGAAAAGTATTCAAAGGTCGATTGGAAAATGGGAGGTAAATTTTCTGCTTTTCTTTTTAATTTCATGTATATGTTTTGTCATATTTCCTGCATATGTTGTCTATATCACTTATTGTGTAACTTTTGAAGTATATGGCTTTTTTGACAAGAGGATCGCCCAGGAGGTTGCTGGAGATGCTTTGGGCGAGGTATGTGGCTAACTATTTTTGTTTTTTTATATATTTTTGAAGTAATGATTGATCTGTTTGAGTTAATAGAAATTTCCACTGGCTTTGACAGGAATTCAAGGGATACGTTTTCAAGATCATGGGAGGTTGCAACAAGCAAGGGTTTCCAATGAAGCAGGATGTTCTAACTCCTGGCCGTGTACGTCTTTTGTTGCATAGAGGTGAGCTTGCTGCTGATCATTGTAAAATATATTTCTCTGATTAGGGTAAGCATTTGATTGAGCCGAGTTGTATTAAAAAAATGAGTAGTTGAGTTTATGAGTTTTATTTTGTCAGTCGAGATTAATTTGAAATTTTATCAAATGGAGTTGAATAAATTTTACTGAATCGATGAAGCACCAATGTGACCTATGTATTGCGTTAAGCCTTAGTGCTTCATTAAGCTTCTGTGGATTGGGATGTTGGTTTGTAAGCCTTCATAAATTATTCCTCTTCAAAATGCGGAGTTGATTCATTTATATTGTTTAAGAGCAGGTACCCTATGTTTCTGTGGATATGGAAGATGTAATGGTGAACGCAGAAGGAAGTCTGTTCGTGGATGCATTGTCAGCCAACACCTGTCTATTTTAAACTTGGTTATAGTGAAGAATGGAGAAAATGATTTGCCCGGGCTTACTGACACTGAAAAACCGAGGATGAGAGGTCCAAAGAGAGCATCCAAGATCAGAAAGCTCTTTAACATTTCCAAGGAAGATGATGTCTGGAAGTACGTCAACACTTACAGGAGGACTTTCACCACAAAATCTGGTAAAGTTTCTTTTTCTACCTTAGATGATCTCTATATATAAGCAACCATGTTGATGATTTATGTTATATTGGTTACTCGAGCATTATCCAATTATATTATTAATATTAAACTGTCTACTTCGACTTTTCAATACTGACTCAAACCCAACAAACTTGGATCTGTATCTAACTTGATACAGTTTTGTGTTAAACTGTCAATTACCTGAACCCAAAAAATGTTAGAAACCAAAATGATCAAAACCTGAAATGACTTGTACTTGGAATCACCTAATTCCAAAATGATCAAAACTTGAATTGTACCTTCTTCAACATAAACAATGCGCTTAATGTGCACAATATGTTGAGATTTTCTTAGATGTTTTTCATGACGGGATGTAATGTTAAAATTCATGCACGTATTGCATTTGCAAGCCTCAGTCACCCACTAGTGGCAATTTCATTATCGAACATTTAGTTACTGATCAGTAGTGTTTTATGTGATTTTAAAGGCAAGAAGGTCAGTAAAGCTCCAAAAATCCAGCAGCTGGTGACTCCATTGACACTTCAGAGGAAGCAAACTAGAATTGCAGATAAGAAGAAGAGAATCGCCAAGGCAAAGTCAGAGGCAGTTGAGTACCAGAAACTGGTTGGCATGAGGCTGAAGGAGCAGCGAGAGCGTCGTAGTGAGAGTTTAGCCAAGAGGAGGTCCAAGCTCTTTGCTGCTTCTAAGCCTTCTGTTGTTTCTTAGATTGCCTTCGAAGTTTTAGTGAACAATGGAAATGGTTAGTACTCAACTTTTTTGATGTTATAAGCTGAGAAATTTTGCTTAATTTTCAATGTTCTGTAATAATGCTTCGAATGTTGAAAGAGATAATCGAGAATGGACTTGAAGTGCTGGTCAATAAGAATTTAAGCAAACTTTTCTGATACATATCTGTCATATCATACATACACATTAGTCATACAACTATCATATGGACTAGTATATTTTCTTGTAGAATAAAGAATACAACTATCATACATAAATATTTCTTGTATCATATACATTTTTCATATCATACATACACATACTCCCGTCTCAACAATATATGCAAATGCAACTAACTGTAGGAATGCCAATTAAGTGTGTCACAATAAAATGTGTTTTTTTGTTACATTGTCCTCATTTCCAGAACTTAGTGGTCTCTTTATGACCTGAAACTAAAGATCCATTGTGTTTTTTTTGGCTTTGTATTTTACCTACAGAGGCGAAATATAAATTTGAGAGCATAGATATTATTTTTCTATGCAAGATTCATCTTCCATTGTTTTGCCTAGTTTTGTAATGCATTTTCCTCTCCCTTAATCTTGCCATGCAGGTTGTAGTTCGTGTCAAAATGATGTTTGAAATGTAAGTGTTATTCTTTATCTAAAATAGCTGTTATTATTTTCAATTACTGCTTAGCTACAATATCGATTTTCTCTTTCCTAAACAAATGTTCTCGATGTTGTAGATATACAACATGTGTAATACCTATAAGTGCATTCTTTGCATCAAGTCTTTGGTAAGTATTTAACTGTGGTATGACTGGAATTTGTGTTTGGTGTGTGGTGTAGTGTTTTCCTTATTATGGTGTGGTTTGTGTTGTGTAATGAGTTACTTCTGTCAGCAAAAAGTACATACTGCTTGAAAATCCTGTCGAGACTGAAAGCAGAGTATTACTTGTGAACTTTTGATTGTTTCAGACTCTTTTTGTTTTAAGTATAATATTGTTCCTCAATGATCTGTCTGTTTTCCTATCCTAATGGTTGTTAAAGAGTTACTGCACCCAAGTTGGTAGGTTGACTTGAGTTTGTGAAAATTCTCAACTAAAAAAACCTGGATGATTATTGTTAAGCTCAAATCAAGTATAGATGCAGTAGTAGTACCTTCTACATGTATTTTTTTTATCTTTTATTTTGTTTGGTGTACATGTATTGTACCTGCTTATTATGTATTGGTTGTGCAAAATTTTGACATCTTTGTTTTATTTTGCTTATCATTTGTTGATATTGTTTTTCCATATTCTAAGCATCCTCATTTTTTTGTTGTCAATATAGGTTTAACAGCACTGCGTATTTGCACATATCTGTGGCTTTTATCCAGATGCTCAAAGCTCTAAGTATGTGGAAACAAAGTGCATTATTGTATATATATAATGGTTATATGTTCTTTCTCAATGTCGTATTTTCTTTGTTTTCTTTGACTAATCGTTTATTGTAAACTATTTGTAGTGTGAATATATTGTATACAAATGGATTGCTTATATATAATATGATATATATATTTAGTATTATGAGACATTAAATGTGATTTAGTTTGATTATTTGTCAATCTACAATATATATATATATATATATATAATTTACGAAATACAATCACGACACACTAATGTAAGTCATACAAATGTGTGTCATCTTCATTTATGACGGGTGCTTCAATGACACGCAATGTAAGTCATACATGCGTGTCATAAATTTATGACACACAAATGTATGTCAAGTAGATTTATAATGGGGGCTTCAATGACGCTCAATGAACGTCATAAATATGCGTCATAAATGTGTGTCATAAATGCGTGTCATAGATTTATGTCACACAATTGCGTGTCATCTAAAATTCATGTCGGTGGCTTCAACGACAGTTATTTGTGTATCGTCTGCACCCATAGATGACGCGCAATGCGCGTAATTAAAGGGGTTTTTTCTACTAGTGTTAATGACCTAGAAATTGAATCCACAAGTATAAGTCCAGAAATAAAGCTCTTTAACCATACTCCATGCGAGGTAGCTTCAAAATATGACATGAACTCATCCTCCATAGTGAAAGTAGAAATTAAGGTTTGTTTGACAATCCTCCAAGATATAACTCCACTAGTAAACATAAACATATAATATGATGTTGATTTATGTGAATCAACACAACCAACAAAGTTTGAATCGAAGAGGCCAATCACCTTCAAACTATCTGATCGTTTGTACGTAAGCGTGTAGTCCTTTGTCCCTTTTAGGTATCTCAAAACTTTCTTTATAGCTTTCTGGTGGTCAATATTCATATTACTCTAATATCTTCCCAAAATCCTAACTACAAATGCAATGTCAGGTCTTGTACAAACTTGAGCATACATTAGGCTTCCAACAACAGAATCATATGAAATGTTTTTCATTTTCTTTCTCTCAAAGTCATTTTTCGGGCATTGATTCAAATTGAATTTATCACCCTTCACGATATGAGCAACACTAGGTGAACAATATTTCATCCGAAATCTTTTTAAAACTTTGTTGATTTAGGTTTCTTGAGATGGACCTAAGATAACTCGATGTCTATCATGATGAATATCAATGTCAATGACATAAGATGCATCACCCATATCTTCCGTATCAAAAGTTTTATAAAGAAATTGTTTCACCTCATGTAGCATACACTTGTCATTTGTTGCAAGTAAAATATCACCCACATATAAAATAAGGAAACAAATTTTACTTTCATTGACCTTATGGTATATATATTGATCCATTATATTCTCAACAAAACTAAATGAAGAGATAACTTTATGGAATTTTAAATACCACTGTCAAGATGCTTGTTTCAATTCATATATGGATTTTTTTTTTACTTTCATGTCAATTGTTCAACATGAATAGAGAAGATTCCTTTAAGTTGTTTCATGTACCTCTTCCTCTAGGTCATCATTGAGAAAGGTATTTTTCACATCCATTTGTTGTAACTCAATGTTAAAATAAGCTTTAATGCTAACACGATACATAAGGAATCTTTCTTAGATATTGGACTAAAAATCTTAGTGTAATTGATTCTTTCTTGCTGAGTAAATCCTTTCATAACGAGTCTTGTTTTATACCTTTCAATGTTGCTCATTGTGTTTCTTTTTGTTTTAAAGACCCATTTACATTCAATGGCTTTTACACCATTACACAATAATACAAGATCTGAAACATCGTTTCTTTTCATGTAATTCATCTCATCATTCATAACATTGTTCCATAATTTTTATTCTTTGCAACTCATGACTTGTTGAAACGACTCGGGATCATTTACAGCTTCAATATTAAAGTCGCTCTTGTGATGAAGCATGTAAAGCTATATGTATCGTAAGTAATCATCTATGAAAATGATGAAGTGTTTATGACCTTGTACATCCATATCTTGGAAATAAATGTCAAAATGAATGATTTTCAATATAGTCAAAATCCTCTTGTCATCTTTCTTTGACTTGTTAGTCTGCTTACCCTTAATGCTTTTTATATAAGCATCAAAATTAGAAAAATCTAAGGTAATACATACCCTCCATCATTTACTAATCTCTTAATTCTTTCAATGGATATGTATCGATCTTTGGTGCCATAAGATAGAGAAATCTTCATTTATAACACAACATGTAACATCCCAAACTATAGGTTAGTGACTAAATGGTAAAGTTTCAGAATTTGGTGATTAAAGTAGAAGAATGGATTAGTTCAATGATTTATCTGGAAATAAATCCTAAAAATTGTTAGTAATTATCAAATGAAGTAGAGGACAAAATGGTTATTTAACTAATAAATGAATTAAAAATAAATATGATAAGGATATATATGTTAGAGGGGATAAGGATGAAGAGATATTCTCTTCATCTTCTTCTTCTTCTTCATGTACGAGAGAAAGAAAGAGCCAAGCTTGCAAAGGTAAGATTCTTTGTTAGCTGATTATTTGTTAATTTTAAGAGTGGGTTTTGATCATTAGGTAATACTTAAGCTTATGGAAAGCTTAAGTTGTCCTAAAATCAAAAGATAAAGAAGTTATGAAAGATTAAAGAAAATGAGTTTCTTAAGGAAATTCTGGAAAAGAGTTAGTAAGTGAATTTTGAGAAGGAATTTGACTTGTCATCAATCTAAGTAAGAGATATGAAGTAATAGAATTGGATTTGAAACATGTTGCAAAATTGATGTAATTATTGAATTACATATGGAAGATAGGATTTTAAGGTTTAAGATGAAATAAATGAATATAGATTGGTTTAAGTATGTGTACTAGAGTTAAGAATGAAAAAGGGGATGATATATGAAGTGTTTGAGAGGAAATGAAGTAATTTTCGTGCTGAAAAATGATTTCTGGGTTAGGGGGAATCGGTACCCATTCAAAGGGGTACCGATACCCTCTCAAACGACAGAATTCCAGAATGTCATGAGGGTATCGATACCCCCAGTAGGGAATCGATACCCCCTAAAGGAAAAATGTGAATATTGGTTTAATAAGTTTGTTTAAGATTGCTAGTATCCAATTACAAGGTGTAGGTATCTAATGATTGCCTCCAAATGTACATTTATGTAGATTCTGCGCGTAAAGCAATTCCGGAACATTTGACAAGTAAGATCGATCAAGGGAAAGATAAGAGATTGGAATTGACTAGTGATACCAAGGTGAGTGCATACTAGTGATATGTAGTGTTTAATGGAAATAAGACTTGCGATGAGTCTATTTCCTAGAGTAATATGCTTGAAGTCATGGACATGATTATGTGTTGTTATAATTATATGTGATTATCCGTATTAGATTGATTGTATGTATGCATGACTAAAGATAATGATATGCTTTGTATATGTTATGTGATTATGAATAGGTAGAAAGGAAACAAATGATGATATAAGAATCTATTATAAGATATATGATATGAAAATATGATAGTGAGCTATGTGAAAGAACTATGAGATATATGAGTTATATAGAAAATATATGCGAACAAGATA